ACCATGATGATCATCGAATGATCCACCGCCACCGTGGCCGCCACCACCACCGTAACCGCCGCCGCCTCCACCGAAGCCGCCGCCGCCTCCACCGTAGCCGCCGCCGCCACCGCCGCCACCATGATGATCATCGAATGATCCACCGGAGCCATGATCATCACCAAATGATCCATGGCCACCGCCGAAACCACCTCCACCATGATCACCTCCAAAAGATCCTCCGCCAAGACCACCGCCATAGGATCCTCCACCGTGACCGCCGTCGAAAGATCCTCCGCCATGACCACCGCCGTAGGATCCTCCGCCGTGATCACCACCGCTGAGATCGTAGGAACCCCCACCATGACCACCACCGAAGGATCCGTGATCCCCTCCGGATGGTGCACCATAAGATGATGAAGGTGCACCATAAGACGATGATGGTGGGGGTGGTGCACCGTAAGAACTCGAAGGTGGTGCACCATAAGAATCAGATGGTCCTATGTCTGGTGCACCATAGTGTGAGCTTACGGGAGGCCTATAGCATTTCTTTCATTAGTATGATGATAAGTAATTCAATAAAAACTTAAGTACTTCTAATTACATTTGATATTACAATTATTTGTGCAAATGAAAACAAATTTTTGTAGATAATGCATTAATTTCAAATGTAAAACAAGACGTTCGTATTATAAATCTCATATAAATATTTAATTATTCATGTACTCACTCTCTCTTTGTTCTAATCGGATCTCCGAGCGTGGAGATAACAAAGAGGCCGCATAATACCGTCTGAAAGAATTTTTCTCATTAGTTTTATAAATAAATGTTTGCATAAATAATTTAATTTCTATTTAATTTAACAAATAATAACCGATAATAATGACAATCTCTAAAATTTGAAAAAGGAAAACTCAGGAAAAGGATAAAATAATTAAACGCCGTCAAAAAAATTATTTCATGTAGGAATGTGTAGTCTCAGTTTTTCTTGCGAGATTAATGCAAAGAAAAACAAGTGTTAAAAATCTTAAAGGCGCGAAGACACGTTAATTGTGCGATCGACTGCGCGAATGAGACGGTGTCCCGCTGCCGTGTAATTAGTTCTCTTTCTCTCAAGCGCGGTAGCGTAATTATCTTATTCGCGCAATCGCCTGTCATCAACCTCCCGCAGAACTAAGAGTTCTTTCGTCGTGTTGCGCGACGGAAATCCTGCGGATTTCTACGCGCTTGTCCACGCGACGTCACGAGCGCGTCTCTCAAAAATGAAAGTGTCCGCCGCCGTGTGAACGCGCGGCCGACGAAAACAGCGGCGCGAATTGGGTCGAGCCCCCGTTTTCCCCCTCGCTGTCCTCGCATTTCCAGAAGAGGCTACCGGGAACATAAAACCTGTACCGACGGTTAA